GGAAACGAAAGGTCGGGCCGCAACTCACCCTCAGCCGGTACACCAGGCACTGAATGTTGTAAATTTTTTTACCATAAACCATTATTTACCATATATGTGTTTAAATATGAAACGCATATTCTTTGAAACCAGACATTCGGTCATGATGTGGTTATTTAAATGAGTATTTTGCGGAATAGGTTTAAAGCATAGTTTTATGGGACGAAYTTCTGTCCAAAAAATATTGACGAATAAAATAGGAATAAAATAGTTATTGGTCGAACCAAATTTTTTGATGTCTAATCGAATTCGAAACGGATTTTGTCAAAGTGCCTATTGCGATTCCGAATCTGACTTATAATTATTCAAACGAACAATTAAAATGTTTTGACCAACTAAAATTTGAAACCGGCATTTTATTTTATCATAYATTGTCATAATAATATAAAAAAAAATATTAAATAGTTTAGGTGATACTAATATGGTACTTAAATTTTAATTACTATAAAGTACAGAAAATTAATTTAAGATATTGTTTGATTATAAAAATATTTTCAAATTCGATTWGTTCAGTTCATRATTTATTTATACCTATTTCGAATTTCGTATCAAGCAGTTCGATCCATCACTACAATATAGTATTGGTGGCGTCATTTTTACAACAAATAAATGATATAGAAATAATTTTAATTCTGATATATACTTGGAAAATATATGGATTTAAATTTTGATAGAAGTGGGTTAAGGTTAAGTATTGATAATAATGTTACAAAACAACAAAACTATACTAATATTGTCCTACATTTCTACGCAAGTGGAAATGATCAAGTACCTGAATATTATTAAATCAGTATAATTATTTTACAAAAAAGTTATTGTTTATTTTATTTTGTTTTATAAAGATTTTCAACGGAGATACGTTGGGATATTCWGAGTCTTCCGTTTGTATTGTAATAAAAGAAGTATCAGAATTACTTGCTAAACCTGACAAAAGCTGATATTCGATTTCCAAATCCACAATACTTACCRGATAGATGCTAAAWCATAGTTTTTATTTAATTGGTAATTTTCTGCAGTATTTGGAACTATAGATTGTATACATATCCCATTAAAAAGTTCTGGAGGTGAAAACGCAGAACTCTATAGAAATCGAAAAGGATGTATGCAGTTTTTTTACTTAGTCTGCAGATAGTCAGGATCAGTTATTAACGACAGTAGAATWTATAACAATGGTCGTGTGAAACTTCGAATTGAATTAAAGGTTAATCAAAGGTTATAGCTGGTAACATATTTTYATACATAAATTAGCAATGAATTCATAAAGTATTTTCAATAATATTATAAACATAAAAATTATAGGTAATTTAATTGGAGGTGGCGGTTACCTTCAGAGCAAATTTCTATATACACACCAAAACTCAATTCAACAACTGCATCAGAAAATAAATACAGCTATACAAGTTCTTAAAAGTCGATTTCGTTGTTTGTGCAGAAAGCTCCGTACAAAACTTCAAACTTCTAGTTTTATCATAATTGCATATTGTTCTATACTTCATAATTTAGTATTAAGTTATATAATTTATCCTCGGAGACGTTTGAAGCGTAATTGGTGTCGTGATCTCCTAAATTAAATTAAAATTATTATCAAGCTAACATAAAGTGTTATCAATGGGCGTCTTCTTTCAACAAAACTTCATAACGTGTTCATTTTTATCGCATTCTTATTGTGTTTAGTATAATTGATATAGATATAATTGTAAAAAAAATCAAAAATCAAAAATTTAGATATACAAATAAAAAATGAAGAAGAGACTGTCAAGTTACTCAGAGATGATGTATTATTATAGCTATTATAGACTATCGATTTGAGAACATAATAAAAACAGCATTTATAGAAATTAGAAAGACGTTTCAGTCGTTTCACAAGAGCTCCTAATATAGGTCTACTAATGTCTGAGTGAAAACAAAAAAATTAAAATTAAAACAAAAATAATATAAAAATTATAGTAAAAAATAACACCATAAAATATTAGCTAGMCCTTTATTTCTGGTTCTGACCCCCCTGRAATTTCTTCTTTACCCCAAAAAATCTTATTTACCACCATTCCAATACACAGAGTCGATCAATTGTTGGTAGTTTTTATTAGATATAAATTAAATTTTAAWTTTATCATTAATTATAATTATTGATAACTAACTATATAAAAACAGTTTAGCAACAAATAATGTAAATTATTTATACTCGTGTAAACCCCTAACTGAACTAAAATCCTATGTACGCTATTGAATATTTAGAAAGTTTACTTTACAATTTACATAACTTACCTACCTATTATAAATTATAATGTTATTTAATATAGGTAGGTATATATTAAAATATATGACTTTATAGTTATAAATTATAATTATATGATGGGCTGCACAATTTTGTTGAAAACAATTTTTGAGTTACAGTTCTYATGTTAATATTAACGTATTTATRTACCATATCATACGGCATAGGCGTGCGCACAGGGGGGGCCGGGTGGGCCGCGGCCCCCTCTGCGGCCTCTGGCTTTTTCTTTAATAAATGCATAGATATGTATATTATACTAGACAGCGAAATTTTTAGATTTTACAAAAAAAAAAGTGAAGCCAGTTTTAATCTAATAGCATAAATAAAATATAAATGTGATTGAGTTATTATTTTATTAATTAATCAATTATCATCAGACAAGAATCTTTAGTTCGGACCTTTTTAAGGGCCTCCCCCCCTGCGGTCAAGATCTGCGCACGCCTATGTCATACGGTTATACGATTATACCTAACTAAGTATAATAACATGATTAACAAAATGTTGTCACTAATTTTTATGGTATCTTAAATTTTTATAGTTACTAAAAATACAGTGTTGTATAAATATAATATATGAGAACTTTTTTGTTTTTAAAAAATACAAAAATTGGTTTGGACAATAAATAACCCCGCTGGTTAAATGGGTCACACATTATGATAATATTATACTATTATAATATATGCACACAACGTGATTGGCTATAACATTCATGTCGACAACGCGTATATATATAAGCACGAACGCACGGCATTACGGCAATACATTTACCAAGTTACATTTATATAGGTACCGGAATGCCGTCGATCAGGTCGTGTTGTTGTCCTAATAATATAATATATGCCTATAATTAAAATTATGTATACTAATGCAGTTCTGCGGCGTAGTCCAATGCGATCAGAATATGGCCACAGTCGWAGACAGCAGCAATAGTTATAACGCAATTATTACATGCGTTATTGCTATTATAACGTTATTCATTCTGATTTTAGTGCCGTTTTAATATTATTATATAATGTTCCTACTTGTAATTTTTTTTTTTTGTAAAAGTACACCAGACTAATCAAAGATGATAAGGCCAATGCCGAATCGCCAATAATAATAATAATAAATAAAATAAAATATATCTAGGCACCTAAATTTAATATTATAATATAACACAGAAATATTAAGTAGGTGCCTACTATAATATTTTTCATAATGGACAAGTTGAAAAAATATAAAGTAATATTTCGAAGTTGTTTTTAAACTTGTATTTATCGAACATTTTGATATTGAAGAACCAATATTGAATATTACCGCGGATGTATCACCAAGCCGACAAAACAGCAACTTTCTGTCTAGCGACAAAATGGAAACATTTTCGAGAGAAAAGAGATTCTGACGGTAAAATGTACAAGATTCTAAAGACATTATTGTGTTCCCTCAAAAGCAGTAAATACCTAATGGGTTGTGTTTTATTCCTACTTTATGTATTAGAAATCTGAAACGTCCTTAATGCAATAGTGCAATTAGGCGGGAAATGCTATTACATTATTATTTTCAGGATGATAACAGAATAAACAGATAATTGATTACCTTCTGCAGACTATAATTAATGATTAATGAGTGCCAGGGGCACAATTAAGGGGGTTGAGTGGGATAGATCTCCTTAACTTTTGTTTTAATGCTAACATTTTATATTTGTTGGCGGGGGATAAGTTACTGTATGAGGTTTACAGATTTTCCAAAAAACATAATAATAATAATCACTCCCCCCCATGACAAATTCTTAATTACGCCACTGAATTGAGTGATAAAAACACAGATTTTCTTTTTGTTTTGTCTATGCATTGTGAACATCAATAATAACAATAATAATAAAAAAAAAAAAACAAACATAATATTTTGCTTATCCCTAGCTTAGTAAATATTTCCATTTTCATTTTTTGGTCCAAACAGAAAGTTACTGTTTGGTCGCTGTTTCTATTTGTCCATAAATTTACAAATTGGTTTTGTTCCTGTTTTGTCTTAATTGTTTATTTTGTGGGCTTGGTATAAACCTTGCATAATATGAGTATTGACTTCTGAGTACTATTAGTACTTTGAGGAACMTTCCTATACTCATAGCGATGGCTGTGCAAATGGTGTGATCCATTTCCTGATCGAGTCTAAAATTAATGCTTTTTGCCTTATAATATACTGCTTGGATATAGGTAGTACTCATTACATTTKTTTAAAACAAATTATGTATTAACATATAGATATACAGATATACATTCTAGTATTACACTTGTAAATTTACAATTGACAACTTTAAATACCAAAACTAATATTATAATTTAGGTACAAAATATAAATATTATAGAGTTAGTCTTAAATGTTGTATAATATTTTTGGAGTATTTAACCTGGCCATTTATAAAGCCTATCCAGGCTGTAATAAACGTGTTTATAATCTGTGAATTATGATACTCGATGATACGACGATTATAGCAGACGTTTAGGACAAACAAAAATATACAACTTGTAAAAATATCAGAAAATATAATTGTTAAATCATTACTAATTATTATATCCTGCTAGTTTTAAAATAGTAATTGTTTTTCAAATCTTCACAAATAAAATTAGATACCTATTAAAAAGTTCCTCAACTATAAAATTTCAGTTGACTATAAAACCGTAAGAAGACTTAATTAATTCTTTTTCTGGTATTGTAGTCATTGTGGTATTATTGTATTAATGTACAATATACTTTAGACATTGCATGGTATAGGTGCCAGGTACAACAGCAGTGATCGGCCATCAAAATTCAAAACCSATGAGCAGACAAAACGCGTGTACGCTGTACGATACCGAAATACTATTAATAGTATTGCATTAAAATACAGACGAGAATTCTTAATTTTGCTGGAATGGGTTCCCCTCCTCCCTCGTTGTTATCAAAAACAATAAGATAACAATTATTACAACAACAATAATACTAAATTAGTAAACAGACACTAACAAATAAAATTGGTTTCATTTCCATTAACAACAACAAATTTGAACTATTTCAACAATTATTTAATAATATTTGAAAATGAGTTTGTGCCAAACCTGTTGCCTGTGTGCCTAGTTACCTACGGTGCACGCGTACACTCTGCACTGCACACCCGTTTTTTACGGCACTGTCTACTGTACGTCTGCATTCGTACAGTTTTACAACAATAAGACCTAAAAACTAGTTTTCACGGCCTACAGTACACTTCGTTAGTCAGTCAGAATAATAGCCGCTGCACGTGGCGAGGCCTTGAGCAGCAGCCATCGTCGTCCACTCGAGCACACGCACGCGCCGTAAGCGACGACGTATCGCCGAGACTCGCGGCCCAAAGTACAACAGTACTATAGGCTTGAGTAGACTTTGACTGAAGGGGGGGGCCTTAAAATTTTTTCAAAGATTCTTATAATGAATCCTAGTATATAGTTGAATATTTAATTGTTAATTTTATAAAGTCCCTATTTATTTAATTCAATAGGTATACAAATATAAACATTAATACAAATCAAATATAAAGGTATTAAAATAGATAATAATACATAATTATGATAAAATCAAATAATAATAATAATTTGTAACTGAAACAGCATAGTATTACCTATAAAAAAATCAGCATAACTTGCACAATTTATATAATATAAGAAAACCGAAAATATMTTTAATCGTGATGATAACTGATTAATTAATAACTTTATCACAATATTTATTTATCTATTGTCTATTAGATTAAAACTGGYTCCACTATTTTCATGTAAAATGTAAAAATGATCGCTGTCTAGTATACCTAATGCTAATATAGATATCTACTAGATCAGCGTTTCCCAACCTTTTTGCAATGGCGACCCATACATTTAATCTTTATTAGGTACACGACCCCCCCCCTCCTTAAAAAAAGTATGCCTTAAATAAATAAGATTTTTACTATAATCCATTTTATTATTGAGTTTTTTTATAAAATACAATACGAATACAATATACTGAATAATAATAACTTAATTAATAAATAAATTATAAAAAATACAAAAAATTAGTATAATAGAAAATTTAGTGGATTATGGACAAACGACCGAGACCGATCGCATCGACTAGTCACTAGCACATTTACCGATAAGATAAAAAAAATTCCATAATCATAATAACTCTACGTCACTTATACTACAATACTAGTTATTTATACTATTTATCAATTTACGACTAAAATAACTGTAATCGTAACCGCGAGTCGCGACCCATGGTTCGGGAAACGCTGTACTAGATCTTAAAAACTAGATTTTTCTTAAAGAAAAAGCCTGAGGCCGTGMCCCCCCCCCCGTGCTCACGCCCCTGAACGGTACACATCAGCTGCACCGTCGCCGCCGAGCTCGTGACAATATACAGTCACTGTAATAAAATTATAATATTATTAATAATTATTGTTATCATTATTTTGCATGATAATAGTAATTATTGCACTCGTAATAACTGATAACCTGTTAGCGGTGAAAGTGAAATACGGCCGCCAAGACTCGAAACATATATAGTAATAATAATGCATACCAATATGAGGCCGCGTATCGAGGAATGCGCGGTTTGGCGTCCAAGTAGTGGTGGTTTGGAGGTAGAAAAGCCGTTTCCCGCGCACGTTTCGCCGTCATCGATCTTCGTCAACGTCGTGCCGGGGCCAACGATCGTTGTCACTGGTCAGGTCTGAACGCGATACGTTTTCGTGTTGCTTCGTTAACACCTGAAATTGTGAAGTCCAGAGGCCGTCGTTTCGCGAACTTTCGGTTGTTTTTCTATTGCTCTCATATCGTGCCGACGACGATGGCCGTCGACTACCTGTTCGATCCTCAAACGCTGGCCGCAGCCACTGCCGCCGACGACACGACTCGAGTCAACCAGTTGTCGGTGGACGATGGTAGCTGCAAATACCGATTGAGGCCTCTGTGCATGACAGACTACGGACGTGGTACGCAACGAGTGTTTTCTGGTCAGACGCATTCTTCTCCTAAGCATAATTAATTTTTTTTTTATCGCAGGATACTTGGACCTGTTGTCTCAACTGACCGTGACGGGAAGCGTCACTCAGCAGATGTATTTGAGTCAGTGGAATTTTTAATTATTTTCATTTTTATCTGTACCTAGTGTCTTTTTCCACTGCTATTAACACATGCCATTTTTTAGACACTTTTGAAGTGATGAAGAATAACAGCAATACATATTACATAATTGTCATTGAGGATACTGAGGAAAACTGTATAGTCGCGTCTGGTTCCCTGACCATTGAAAAAAAATTCATACACCTCTGTGGACAAGTTAGACATAATTGCAGTATTTAACACGTACCTACAAAATAGTTTATTAATTTATGTATGTGAATTGCAGCGCGGTAGAATCGAAGACATTGTTGTCGACTCTAACTGCAGAGGAAAACGGTTTGGGAAAATGTAAGTAGTTTGAATTGTTTCGTTGTATAATAAACACTTGAATCAGCTARAACTTTTGTGTGTATTGMAATAAAACTTAAAATATTGTGATCAATAGATTAAAAATATTTGGCCATAGTTGTTAGATCATATCTTGAAAAGGCTTGTCTATTTATTTAAAATTAGGAAACATATAAACAGATAACACACATCCAATTATAATTTTAGGATTTTACTTTACTTATTGCACAAACCCCATATTCACTGTCATCACATATACATATAGTATSTAGACGTCATATTTCTAACTTGCTATATTATTGTTAGCTTTAAATATTGACTATTGTGTAAAGTCAATAATACAATCATTTAACATCAGTAGTCTTTAAAATATAATACATCATCATGTCAAAACTTTTATACTCTTATTGCTAACTTTCATCAATTGTTTACAGTGTTGTTCAACGTTTGATTGCTCTGTCACGCGTCCTAAATTGTTACAAGATTTCATTGGAGTGTAAAGATAGTAATGTTAACTGGTATAGCTCAATGGGTTTTGTGAMGGAACCTGGAAACTCAAATTTCATGCAAATTAAGTTTGAGAAACCATCTCATTGAACTTTGTTATTTATCAAAAATAGTAATGTTTGCTTTTAATATATTATGATGTTAATTATTGAAAAATACAATTTATGTTTTAAAATATTTGAAAAGCAAAAATTTACAGTTAATTTAATTTTAAAGGTCTTATATACTTTGATTTAATGTGTTTTGTTATTCCTAAACTCCAACAGGCAATGCAAATATTACTATAATAATGTACTGTATTTAATGTGTAGATTATATGTRTATTCTTCTGTTTAAATTAATTTTCRATATCTTTCTTACCTGGAATTTCAGAATTTGGTTAGTTAAAGTACATTCTTAATTAAATAYGATTTGTTTAGTGATAAGAATATATTTGATAATGTTCCAAGTACTAATAAAAATACAAGTGTTATGTAACCAAATTAAACAATCAGTTTATTAAATAATTTAATCAGTTATACAATTAAAATATTTAAACTATATCAAGAATTATTTAAAAATCATTTTTATACATACAAATATCAATATTATAATTGAATACCCCTGCGTATATAAAACAATTTAAAAAAGTATGTGTCATTAAATTTACAAGTACAAAAAAATATATATATATAATTGTAATAATATTGTATAACAAACACCGCAGTATTAATTCATACTTAGTGTTTAAAAGATTGTTAAAACTAAGCAATACATTAAAGTACATTAATCCATTTAAACTAGGTACTCTCGTCAATTATCAAGAATTATTGTTGATACAAATGTTATTCATGTTATTCATGTCTTGACATTGGTGTTTGTGGTGGTGGTTGTTGATATCTAGGAATATCAGCAGTTGAAACAACACTGGCAGGCGGTTTATTTGAATACCCTGTGACTGAACTTGTTGGGACAGTATATGAAGCCTGTTAATAACATAAAAATAGATGCTATCATTTTTACAGAGTAAAATATATTGATTAGCTCACGTGTTGTTGTTGAGACGACTGAATAATTGCTGGAGAGAGTTGGGAAGCTGAAGATGCAGCTGTGGGGTGTCGCATAGGATAACCAATATTGTGCGGTTTTTGATTCTGTTCAACAAACAGTATCAATAGACAATAATCAGAATACTTGTATATATATTTCACAGTGAACTAATTTATAACTACATACCATCTGATGTGGTTGTGACGCGACTGTCGTAGTATTTGACAAATGAATATTTCTATTGCCTTGCTGTTGATAAAAATTAGATGATGAAGGAGGTGCCAACTTATCATCCGGGTAGCCACTATGAGGTGGTTTAGGGTGATCTAATGAAAACGAAACAACCATTAGAACACCATCTTACTTAATTTACATACTCAAAAAACATACATGTGTGATTACTAGTTTGGTTTCGAATGCCTGGGCTCATGTACATAGGTGGATGGGAGTGTGCATGGTGATGAGGTTGGTGGTGTTGATGAGAAGAAAGAGGCTTTGGTATTTGCTGAGCTCCATGATCACCAGCTGTACTCACAATTAAATTACCACTAGTAGACGGTTCTGTTCGTGGTGGGGGTGGAGGCGGTGGCGGTGGCGGCCCAGAATAACTATATACTGTATTTACTGAAGATAATGATGGGGCTGAAGACAAAAGACCATTATTGACACAGTAATTAACTGCAGAAGTAGAATTAGGTTGGTAAAATGATCCATAACTACTGACATTTGGTTGGGAATTTTCTAAAAATAAGAAATTTTTAATTTTAATTTTGGCCAAAAATGTGATTTATTATAAAAATTATTTTTGAATAACAAAAATATTAAATTAAATTGCATTACAATTTGATTTAATTTTACAACTAAAATAGGAAAATAAATATATTTCATATTCTCTTACTGTTACTATTGTTACAGTTGTTGTTTATCCAAACATTTCTATTAAATGACTGAGTAGTATCTTCCCTATTGCCACGTCTATTTGAATTTTCAACTAAATTAAAGAATAAGAAAAATATTAAGCATGAGTTGTCACATAATTTTTTAGGTTTTGATCAAATGGTGAGGATTATAGAACTACTATCTAATATATATTTCACAAAGAAAAACTGTGTTATATAAAAATATTTCTCGTATTATAAAAACTTACTAGGATAATTGCTATTRGTTCCAGTAGCTAATGACTGATTTATGGTATTTACTACAGGAGCTGGAGCAGTAGAATTTAAATTATTAGCAGTGCTACCACCACTATTCATTGGCTTATATGGAGGGAAAGGTACAACAATTTGTGGCTGTTGATAGTTTTGCTGCTGTATAGTTTGGGGTTGTGGAGATGGTGTTCTACCCATTTTGTTACTGGTACCAACATTCTAAATAAATAAAAAAATATAAATTTGAATTAAACTGATATTAAGAATAAACCACTAATGTTTAATATTAATAGTGAAATATTTAAGAGGAAGTTAGTATGAAGATAGTTATTAAAACTTATTTTGTAGTGATTCTAGTTAAAGTCAGCCATAAGTAGAGAGTAGATAGAGAGGAAAAATAGTTTGGAAATATAATATTGTAATACAATCAATAACACAATGCTAGAATTGTGTACTACCAAGAAGTATGTTAGTGATTATAATGTAGTAGCTTAGAAAGAAACTTACATTGTAAACATATTTAAATGAAAATTAATTTTTTTTAATTTACCGGCGCTAATAAATGAGTGGTGGTACTACTGCTATACAGCGTCGGAAATTTTGTAAAAGTCATTGTGCTAGTTAAAGAAGCTGCTAATGACATAGTAGAACGAGTCACATTATTGTTCTGATTGTTTGCAGCGTTTATTGTGGCTGGTGAACAAACCAATAATGTTTGGTTACTACCTCCAGTGTTACTGGTACTGGAATTGTGCATCATCAAAGACTGCTGTGTCAATGGACTTAATCCGCTACCTGCAGCAGGAGATCCTGCACCTGACTGTGCATTTATTGCAGTAGTCTGTTGTCTAAATATATGTTGTTGAAGTAAAGGAGTCGTTCGATGATTTGTAACTGCAGCATTATTGATATTGTTAGTTACAACTGTCTTATTGTTGATAGGTTCACTGAAAATAAATAAAAATATATGTATGTAAGTAAAATCCAATAATAAAATTAAAAACTAGACATTTCATAGTATTAATACCAATTAGACTCAGTTTTAGGCACTACTAAAGCAGTTGCCATACTATCATCAGTAACTTGTGACTGATTCAAGAGTGCACGTTTTTCTTCTTCAAGTTCATCACGTTTGTCTCGTAGTTGAGATAAACGGCCATTGATCTGAGCTAATGACAATTTGTTTTCTTGCATTTTTTGGTATTCTACACATTTTTTTTTTCTTAGCACCTCAGCATCAACTTCAGCTATTAATTAAAATATATTATAAATACTGATTGAGAAAATATAAGTATATAACCATTGATTATAAAATATTATTAGTGTTAGTGAAATTTAATATTTTTAATCCAAAAATATTCAAAATTACGAATCAGTAAAATATAACAATTTTTAATTTACCAATTAAATAAAACCTATTTAGTATCAATCCAACAAAAGGCATATCTGTTCCTATTGTCGAACGGCAAAAGTACTGACTAGCGCCAGCAAATGTTCCCATCTAATTTTCTAAAGGTATACTCAGCACGATTATAGTAATTTCAATAAAAAGTTTCAAGTGCTTAAATAAAAAAGGTCTTCTATATGCCATTCCTATATTAAGTTATAAATTGCYAACTACTGAATCAATAACTATTTTTTTTTTCAAATTCATCGAGTCTTGAAAATATATTCTATAGAATACCATTGCAAAACATCACAGTATGACAACATTTTATCTAAGTTTAGGTTTATAAAAATAAACATTAAAGTAATGTGTGGTGGTGTTGTGGGGAGGGGTTAAGTGAAAATTCTAACCTATATCCAAATATATCTATTTTAAACTATATATGATGCCCCTTGTAGAAATTAAAAACAAGGTAATTGAAAAAATATACTAACTAAATATTAATAGTCATAATTGCAATTATGGTTTGGACTCACTACATGACAGAAAT